TATATTTTCTAAATAAACTAAATATTAATTTATTAAGTTTTTAAAAATTATTTCATAACAACTACTTAACTAATCATCCAATATAAACTTTAAAATCTCAATATATATATATATAAAAAATATATTATCAAAAAAATTTCATTAATAAAACTAAAAACTATAAGAAACCTTTCAATAAACACCAAAATTTCTAAAAAAACAATTATAAAATTTAACAGTAAAACATTAACTAAAGACTACTTTTACTATTTATTAAAGAACCTTTTTGTAATTTTCTAGATATAAAAACTATAAAAAAATTTACTAGTAAAATATCAAAAGACTCAAAAACAGTTCAAATTCAGGAAAACTTGAAGAGCACATCAGAAAATGCTGAAAGACTAGAAAAATTAGAAAAACCAGAAGACCAGAAAGACCACAAGAAATTTCATCAGAAAATCGCTAAAATACAAATTAATTAGTAAAATCTGAAAGAATAGAAAAAAACTCCAATAACATAAAATTACCAAAAAAGCTGAAAGACCAAAAAACCACAAGAAATTTTATCAAAAATTGTCAAAAGAAATTATTAGAAAAGCTAAAAAATTAGAAGAGACTACAAAAAATCTTACAAAAAATTATCAAAAAACCTAAAAACAAAGAAAATTTAATTAGTAAATCTGAAAGAACAAAAACAAAACTTAGCAACATAATTACAATTATCAGAAAAGCCAGAAGACTAGTGAAGACTATAAAAAATTTCACCAAAATCATTAAAAGATTTAAAAAAAAAAAAACTAATTAGTAAAATTCAGAAGAACAGAAAAAACTTCAACAATAACAATTAAAATTACCAGAAAGCTAGAAGACTAAGAAGACACAAGAAATTTTATCAGAAAATCACTAAAACATCTGAAGACAAAAAATTAATTAATAAAATTCAGAAAAACAGAAAAAAAACCAAATAACACAATTAAGATTATCAGAAAGCTAGAAGTCCAGAAAAGATCACAAGATATTTTATTAAAAAATCACCAAAAGATCTAAAAACAAAAAATTAATTAGTAAAATCCAGAAGAACAAAAAAAAACCCCAACATAACTAAAATTACCAAAAAGTCAGAAGACCAGAGAAGACTACAAGAAATTTTATCAGAAATCAATAAAAGATCTGAAGACAAAGAAAATTAATTAGTAAAATCTAAAAGAACAAAAAAAACCCAATACAATTAAAATTACCAGAAAGCTGAAAGACCAGGAAGACTACAAGAAATTTTACAAAAAAATCACTGAAAGATATGAAAACAAAAAAAATTAATTAATAATTCTGGAAGAACAGAAAAAACCTAATAACATAATTAAATTATTAGAAAAGCTAAAAGGCCACAAAAAATTTCATTAAAAAATTATCAAAAGATCTAAAAAAAGAAAACTAATTAGTAAAATCTGAAAAAACAAAAAAAAAACAATTACAATTACTATAAAAGCTGAAAGACTACAAAAAATTTCACCAAAATCATTAAAAGATCTAAAGAAAAGAAAATTAATTAGTAAAATTCAGAAGAACAGAAGAAACCTAATAATACAATTAAAATTACAGAAAGTTAGAAGATTAGAAAAAACTACAAAAAATTTTACCAAAAAATTGAAAGATCTAAAAACATAAAATTAGTTAGTAAAATTCAGAAGAACAGAAAAAAAAATCCAACAATACAATTAAAATTACTGAAAAGCTAAAGATTAAAGAAGATTACAAGAAATTTTATCAGAAATTGACAAAAGACCTAAAAACAAAGAATTAATTAGTAAAATCTAGAAAAACAGAAAAAACCCAACAACACAATTAAAATTATCAGAAAGTCAGAAGACTAGAAGAGGCCACAAGAAATTTTACAAGAAAATCACTAAAAGGTCTAAAGACAAAGAAAATTAATTAGTAAAATTTGAAAGAACAGAATAAAAATGAATAACATAATTAAATTATTAGAAAAGTCAGAAGACCAGAAAAGATTATAAGAAATTTTACCAAAAAATTACTATAAACCTGAAGACAAAAAATTAATTAATAAAATCGAAAAAACAGAATTAAAAAAATAATTGTTGAATTATAATCTACTAGTGCTAGATTTAAGACAAGAATTGTTAATAAGAAATCATTGTATGGAATTTTCTAATATTATTTTTAGATCATAACTTTGAATGATTATGTGGTAAGCCACAGTTTTTAAATCTGATTTACTCAAAATTGTTTATATGTAAAAATAATCTCTTTTCATATAAAACATCTCATATAATGCTCTTTAGACTATATAATGCACCTGTGATCTTTCAATAATTAATAGATAGAATATATCAAGACATTGTATAGAAATTTGTAGTAGTCTATCTTGATGATACTATAGTATACTTCAAGACTTTTGATGAACATTTAAAACATTTACAACAAATTTTTATTGGAATCAAAAAAGCCAGTTTATGATTAAATTTAGAAAAATGTAATTTTTGGATGCAGAGTTTACTCTTCTTAGGACATATAGTTACTTCTATTAGAATAGCATCTGACTCTTAAAAGATAGAAACTGTTCAGAAGATTCAACTACCTAATAATGTAACCAAACTATGTTTATTCTTAGGACTAGTAGATTATTACTAACAGTTCATTCATAACTTCTTTAAAGTAGCACAGCTTTTAAATTAGCTACTATATAAAGAAACTCCTTATATATAAGATGAATTATAACAAAAAGCTTTTGAAAAATTAAAACAGAAACTTACTACAGCCTTTATATTAAAGTACTCTAACTTTGATAAACTATTTATCCTAGCTACTAATGCCTCTTATCATGGATTTAAAGCTAATATTAGTCAATTGAATAGAAACAGAAAAGAACATCCTGTAGCTTATATAAGTAAAAGCTTAACTAAAGAAGAAGTCAACTATAGTGTTACTAAACTTGAATGTGCTACAGTTGTATAAGCTATCAAACATTTTCATAAGATCTTGGAACTGCTAAATTTATTCTAATTATAGACTACTTTGCTCTTAAGTAGTTACAATCTGTTGAACCTAAAGAATGCTTAGAAAGATGAATTCTAAAACTTCAACCTTATAACTTTAAAATTATCTATAAACCAGGAAGAGTTTACTTCAATGTAAATACTTTCTTTTAACTTTAGACACAAACCTTATACTAAAACCCTTTCTTATAAATTTAGACCTTTATTATAATTTATATAATTATATAGAATTAGACAAGTTATCTAACTCGTGGGTGTGGTGATCTAGTAAAGTGAATAGGTTGTCAACCCTTAAGTGGCAGGTCTAAGGTTCAATTTCCACAAACGATGAATTTTGGAAATTATATCTGTGTTATAATAACTGTCTTTTGCCAATTAGTTGGGTTTTGGGCATCTGTAATCTTAGATATACCAAGTCAGGCCCCACCTAACATTGGGAGCTTAAAGCATCTATGTGAAGTATAATATTACACATACAGAAAGAAATGTAAAAAACCAGTGTTGTATAAGACTTCAGTGCAAACCTGTAATAAGACCACCAAGCATAGAAGGCTAAGAAACTGAGAAAACAGAAACTAACTTGAAAATTTCAAGTAAAGAGGTAGCACAAACTTTTAATGATGCCATTGGACTAATGGAAGCCCATGAAACATCTTTATAGAAACTGTCAAATAAATCGGATGACAAGATGTGTAGAGGAGCATATGACCAATCAGATTGCTGGAATTGCCAAAGCAAAAAAATATATAAGTATATCATATCAGGCCATCTAGATTGGAAGTCTGAAGAGTTAGTTAGTTCTGAGTTGCAGCTAGTAGAAAATGATAGAGAAGAAGTCAAAAAGATGGATACCAGGATTTGAATGAACTTTACAAGAGTAATAGCAGTTTAAGGAGTAACTCTAACTGCAAGTATTGGTCTCAGCCATAGCATCAAACCAGGTTAGTAGTAAAAAAAAATATGGCTCACTCTAGTAAGTTTACCTTGAGGATAAAAATAGTCTAAGGATTATAGTCCTATAGTTAAAAGCAAATAAATTTGGGTCTGTGATTTGGTGAAATTAATACCAGAATCAGATTAGAGAGTTTAAATGGAACATCTAAACAGAGGTGTTAGGTATAGCAACTGATAGAGAATCTTCAAGTGAACTCCTTAAATAGGTAATATAGAAAAGTTATACATATAGCCAGTTGTACACTTGTCTGATAGTTTATTATAGACACGTCTATATAAAACATATACCAATATAAGTATTAATAAAAAGCTACAACCAAAGAGGTTACCTTAATACTAAAAAAAAAAACAAGTTATCTAACTTTTTATCACAAGAACAGATTAAACAAATACAACATTATGTTAAACATTTTATTACTAAGAAAGGACTATTATATAAAAAAAACAAAAAGAATCTTCAATACTCTCTTTATGTTATCAAATAGAATGAAGTAGAACCTGTTTTATATATAATGCATAAGCATTCTATTGCAGAATACTTAAAAACAGATACTATGTATTATAAAATAGCTGAATAATATTATTGAGACCAAATGTATCAAAATGTACAAGAATATATTAAAACATATGAAAAGTGCCAAAAGAGACTAAAAAGCAGATAAACTGAATCTTTTTATTTTATCTAAACAGAATAAGCCTTCAAACAGATTGAAATTAACTTAGTTAAATTCTTGCTAATTATTAAACAAAATAATCAATATATTATTATTGCTACTGACTATTTAACAAGATAGCCAAAAGTCTGTACTATATCTAATATTAGAGCAAATACTTTAGCTTAGTTTATCTTTAAAAAAATTATTTGTCAATATGAAATACCAAAAATTATTCTTTTTGATCAAGAAAGAAATTTTATTAGTAAAACTGTTCATATTTTATGTAAAAAGTTTCTTATAAAACATAAGTTTTCTTTACCATACCATCTACAAATAAATAAAATGCTTGAACATCTTAATTAGACCTTATACAAATTACTTGTTAAAGTAAAAAAAGATGATAACTGAAACTTATATATATCTGCTGTACTGCTTGCATATTGAACAAAAAAGCATGCTACAACTAGATATACTCTTTTTCAGCTTGTATATAAATGACAAGCTGTTCTTCCAATTGAAGCTTTACTACTTGTCAAACTTTTTGAAGAAACAGAATACAACTTACAAGATAGCATATTGCATTGAGCATTTGAGCTTATTAACAAGCTATCTGAATTGCATAATAATGCAAGAGAAAAGACTAATAAATTATAACAGAAACAAAAAGAATACTTTAATGCCAAAATTTGTTATAAAATATTTGAAATAGATGACAAAGTATGGATAATTAGAAAAAACATAGAACATTCTTAATCAGCTAAATTTGAAAATAAAAGGACTGGACCTTTTATTATTCAAGAAAAATTAAACAATAGTGCCTATAAACTTTGTAACAACAAAGAAAAATATTGCAAA